TGATTTGCATTGAAAGATGATCTTATGGAAAGTAGTAACCCATGCCAATCTCTAGGCATGGTGAAGGGTATTTGCCCCCTTTTATTAAATACTTTTTGCAACCTCCTTTTTCCAAGATAATCTCTGAGTTTTCTCCTATACTGCCTGATGAGTTTGGAGAACATCTGACAAGAGATCAGAGACCATTCCTTCATACAGAATCTCTCCAGATCCTTCAGATTCCCAGTTCCATGTTGGTCCTTCTCTTCAGTTCAGCGCACTCATTTGGGAACATGGATGGCCATGGCAGAAGCTTCATTTTGTGCTCAGTGACACATTTTTGTGTTGATGTTTGTTTTGGATCGTTGTCCTGATGGAAGATCCAATCACGGCCCATTGTACAATTTCTAGCAGAAGCAGTCAGGTTTTTCTATCTGTTGAAATGTGCTAGAATCCATGATACCATATATCTGAAGCTGAACAAGTTGTCCAGGACCTCCAGCAAAAAATAGGCCCACAACATTAAAGATCCAGCAGTAGCCTATATTTAACCATGGGCATGGGGTACTGTTTATCCCTGGTGGGTTTGCTGTCAAAAAGCTTTTTTTGTTTCATCCAAGTCCCTTTGGAAGTTCCAGTCGTGTCTGACAACTGAATATGCTGGAGTTTGTTTTTGGATGAGCAAGGAGGATTTTTCTTCAAACCCTCCCAAAAAACTTGTGATGATGTTTGATAAAAAAATTAGGCTTTCTGACCCCAAGACTCAACTAATCTCTACAATTATCCAGCTGTGATCCTTGGAGAGTCTTTGGCCACTCAAAATATCCTCCTCACCAAGCATTTCCTCATATTTATACTCCTATGGAACAGGAAGTCATGGCTAGCCAATTTCATACTCCTAGTCACCCTGGTGTGCTAAAAATAAACGTAAATGAAAATATACTTTCTAGGGGTACCAATAATTGTGGCCAACATGCATTGGAGAAAAACATTTATTTCATAATATGAGTTCTCCCCCACTTTCAATTGTTTTCAATGAAAGGTTAGAATTTTGTGATTCTTTTTTAATGAAAGATCGAAAAGGATAAACAATGCAGATTTATTTTCACAGCTGCCTTTGCTCATATAGGGTGCCAATAATTCTAGAGTTGACTGTAAATTAAAAGATGCCCTGAACTTGAAGGGGAGAATAAAGAAAAAGAAAAAGAAAAAACTAAAGATGAAAGACTAGCTACCTCTTATCTGAGTCAACACCATGAATAGACTTGCAGCTTGAAAGCATCAGGTATTCAAGGACATTCAGACACCCATTCAGATGTGTTCAAAATGAGTCACAACTTACAAGTAGCTATACATGCACACTAGATAGACCACTGTCTTTGTTGAGGACACTATTTGATTAATCTGAGATAGAGACAGCTTTCAAAAGATTATTTTCTGTAGATATGATCTTAGTCTTGCATCTTCTCAGATTCTCCCATTTAATTTGAAAATAATTAACAAATAAGAGTAAAAGCTCAGTCAAATAAAAGTATTCTGAAAAGAGATGCTTTTCACAAAGACACTTTGAAACTGATGACACAGAGTTTAAAGCTGATATAATCATGTCAGCTAAGCTTTTGCCAAAGAGGGTCTAAAGGTCAAGATGTATTGTAAAGATGTGCTTTAGCACTTCAATTAAATGTTTTCTTTTTCTCATTCCTTGTATTCACAAGAACATACAAGAAAGTAGCCTGATACCAAGTCCTTGTCTTTGTAGTAAAAAAAAAAAAGATCATACATAAGTATGAGTTGTATCACATTCAAATGTACAGTTGTGCTGACATTTAGATTTAAAGAGGTGGCTAAAGTCACATGGTTCTGGATCTCTCTTTCTCTCTGAACTCAAAGACAAGAGAAGTTCTCAACAATAAACGTTTTTTTTTCTCAGTAATTTTAACGTTCACAACCACACCACATTAAATAATCTTAACAACTTCTTCACAAAAAAACAACAACACTTTTTTAATAACAACAATGATATCTGTAAATTACTGCTTTAAAATAAGCTTTTGGAAACTGTAAAAACAGTGGAATACATGTGTATGATTTTCAGACCATTCTAGCTTACAAATATCACAAGTCATTTGTGCAATTTCAACTAATCATAACCTATGTAACTGGCCAGGCAACTTCAATATGTGACAAGATTATTTGTAGAAGACACAGCACCAATTTGCAATACCTCACAGAATTGTTTTTATTTGCAAGGCATAAACACACGTGCATGATTAATGCATAGTTGACAACTAAAACAAAAAGACAAAATAGCCGGTTCATCACAATGTGGGGTTGCATTTACAGTGTCAACTTTCAAACATTTAACCTAAAGACTGAGAAACATTTCAAAGACATTCTTAAACTCAAATTCTCAAAGTTCGTTCCTGGAAAGTTGAATACTAACCTGCACAAGAAGGGACATGAAACTGAGGAATAAAAAAAAAGAAAAATCAAAGGGGTAAAAATAAAATGTGTATGAAGGTTAGATTCTACCCATTCACATGCTCTGATTATATCATCTTATCAGTTCTGTCTATGAAATGTTTTGAAATAATTTAAGCAGTTTTGTGTGATGCAGAAACAGTGACCACGACAAAAAGGTGAAACTACTTTAACATGGATTTAGGGTGAAAGTCTTTTAGCATCTTAAAAGTTTGGGGTAATTAAGATTTAGATTTTTTCAAAATAAATTAATACTTTTAATCTACAAGGATACACTAAATTAATCAAAAGTTACAGTAAAGACATTTATAATGTTACAAAAGTGGAAATATATATATATTTTACTGTATTTCAATCAAATAAATGCAGCCTTTGGCCTTGGTCAGTATATGAGTCTTCTTTAAAAAAACAAAACATTTTTTTTCCCTACACTACATCTAAACAAAAAGAATTAATACAGACTGATGGTACTGCATCTGACTGCAGGCAACAATCTCTAAACTCTCATGTTACACGGCTCACCCATATCACAATGATCTATTCGGCTAATGAGTAAGGTGAGAAGAACTGAAGAGAAATGTTCCACTGGGTTATGTTGCAATTTGCACATGCTCAGTACCTCATTCACTGATGTGCGAGTCTTTCAAACAAGATTATGCTTTATGAATATCCCACACCATTTATTATAAATGAGAGACCACTGGCTATCACACGGACGTTGTGTAACAAGAAATGCTGACACAAACTCCAGCGCTTTGAGGATTAAACCACTGTCAGAGACACACAGGCTGACCAGTGTTGCAAAATGCCCAGCATGCACATATCACAGAGGAAAGAGGCACAAATTATCCAGCTAAAAAAAAGCAAAGAGTGCTGCAATGGGTGTTTCACTTTTGACTTCTACTGGTGCAGGTTCATCTATACTCAGTGCTGATATTTGGTTTTCACATTCACTTTATATTGATATGTCCTTACTGGTGAGTTATGTTTTATCAATACCAGACGAAGTACATAAAACCAAACACGTATAACGTTAGGGGAATATAATATCAATATTCTACCCACAGCAACGGTAAAATGCGAACAAATACATTTCCTACCAAATTTAATCTTACATGAGAATTACATAAGTGTGTCACAGTGCTTGACACGTTACACAACAATTATCTATTAGTGAAAAATAAAGATATCAGGGCTCCATCCTACACAAACACAGAGACTGACCCTGACAGTAGAGTATCTGTCAACAGCCAGTTTGAAACCATATTAGCCAGTTTATTGAAGCCTTGCCGACTGTTTTAATGTAATGACAGTCGTTCACGGAATATTTCTACCTTGAAGAATGTATATACAACATGTTTATATTTATTTAAGTCGTATATAAGCGCCAGCGTCGCTGTTTTAAAGCGAAACTACAGTAGCAGTTTAGCAAACACTTGCTAGCTAATAAAAACCCATATAGCAGGTCAATGTTTAAATATCATCCAAATATGTTTTAAAATATACTGCTTGACGTACCTTGGTGGTTAAAAAGCCTCCATAACTTTGTAAAAATGATTCCCATCGCTGATGTCCGTCCTCGGGCAACACCACCCAGCAGCAGCAGAGACTGAAAATCTATCTGCTAACCAGCTAAGCTAACAATCCGGTTCAGTACAAAATAGTGCTCACGGTAACAGTTATTCACTCCTTTAATATTATCCTGTGGATGTTATCCATGTCTCGTGAGGATGGGATATCTAAATACTGCATCATTTCAGTGCTGTCATGTCTGGAGGTAAATGAAACGAGGGCGTTCATTTGGCTCTGCCGCAGAGACGAGCGTCTGAATCTGAAACGCTGAACTCAATCAAAACAGTTTACAGCCACGCAACACTCACCGGAAGTCTCGCTCGCGACCTGTCTGTCTCAAAAGCTAGTGCGGAGCCTAGCTGGACAGCACACTTAGATGCACCATTTAGGGCATCTAAAACGCGAATGTTCGGCACTTTTGGGCTGTAAGGGAATGATGTCTAGATAGGCAGCTCACTAGGTTTTGAGATACAGTTACACTCTCACTGACAGCATAGTGGACTGAGATAGCATTACTTGCATGCATGTATAATAAATACGTGACGAGACAGTTGATCTGTGTAAAAAAAAAACAAAAAAGACAACAGATGGCAAAAAAGGCACAATATTTGGCATAAGTCTGTATGGCTCTAGTCTTCATAAATACGTTTGTTATTATAAAATCAATTGTGCAACTCCTTAGGCTTACATTTGTAAAATGAATTAATCGGATCTTTCAAAACTGTCCTTTTAATTAATTAAGAAGAGCTATTCTTGTGACTTGCTGCTTCAAGTTGTGACCGAGTAACTGCTGTCATTTATTTGTGATATCATTTTTTTTCCCGGCTAGGCAACTCAGCTCACGTTTTTTTTTCTTAAAAAGCCAGAAGCTTAATTATTTGAGAAAAATATCTAAATAAAGGAAAGCGTTGGATTTTAGCAAGGCCAGTAGAGGGCGTCCAGGAGACAAGCGAGACGATCAGTACATCATCATCATGCGACGAATTGAGGAAGGACAGATGAGAATGTGCATGCATGCTGATGATTTGAATTATAACTGCAGGCTGTTTGGTTCGCGAGGAAGACCATTGATAAATAGTCTCTGTGTACATCCTACCGTTATCTAAATAGTGTATATTTGGATCAGCTAATCAAAGTATACAACTAAAGCGCACAAGAGAACACATTTGAAGATGTCTGTAACGGAGATGTTTAGCTATATCCAAGGCTTTCTGAGCGCAGATCAAGATATCCGAGAGGTAAACAACTGCACTGACACATAAACTGGCTTTTTGCAAAGCAAAATAACTTTACTAAAAATAAATGGGGTTTTAAGAAGCAATGTGTAGTCCGTTTGGAATGTCATGTACTGTCGCAAAACCTCTGAATAAATGATTGCTAGTATTATAATATGTCCAGTCATATTATCAGAGGATTTGTGACTTGTAAATTAGACTTGATAAAATGCAACAGCTATCAAAGTCTTGATAGAAAGTTCAGCGGATCTCTTTATGAATTTGTGTCGTGTTTAATCCACATGTGCTGTCGGCTGACTCATCTTTCCATGTTCTTCCTTTAGGACATAAGAAAAGTTGTCCAAGTTCTGGAGCAGACGGCGCGAGAGATCCTCACTGTTCTTCAAAGTGTCCATCAACCAACTGGTTTCAAAGACAGTAAGACAAGTTTAAATTCTTGATCTAAGTCTTTTGATTTACACGATGCCTTTTTATAATGCGTTTTCATTCCCTCCACCAGTTCCCAGCAAGTGTTTGAAGGCCAGAGAGCTGTTCTGCACCGTGAGAAATCACACTGGAGAGCTGAAAACTAAGTTCCCTGCGGAACAGTACTATCGGTTAGTGTAGATACCTCTTGAGCAATTCCAATTTTCTAGTGTTGATAGTTATATTAAAGATTTACACGTCCTCACCTTTCCCTAGGTATCATGAACATTGGAGATTTGTTCTTCAACGACTTGCCTTCCTTGCAGCTTTTGTGGTATACCTGGAAAGCGAATCCTTGGTTACACGTGAAGAAGTGGCAAAAATACTTGCCAGTATGTAATGTTCATGTTTATTTATATCTTTTCTATAGGATATTTGTGTGAGACTGTTGTAGATTAATTTTACTTTACACTTATGCAGTTGAAATCGACAGAGAAAAAGGGTTTCATTTGGATGTGGAAGACTATCTAGCAGGAGTTCTCATTTTGGCCAGTGAGCTGGTAAGTTTTTTTTTTCCCCTCTCAAGTTCATTCAGACTACCAATCTTATAACCTTTATCAATAATATTATACCTGTTACTGTATTAAAACATTAAGTTAACATTAAGGAGTTTTAATTAAGTGTCAATGAGTGATTACATTGACAGTAATTTGCAGTGACAAATTAATCATTTTCGTTTAGTTTTTGTAATGACCTAATTATGCAAAAATCACTTTTTGACTTTTTGTTTGAACATAAATGTGTGTCATAACCACCCCGTATATTATCCACATAAATCATAAGCAGTGTCTCAGAACAAGCGAGCCATTTGCAGTTTATATGCAATGCAATGCATTATAGTGGATTTTGTGTGACCTTGATGTGTAACAAATTAAAAGCACAATGTACCTTTTGCATTTTTTTCGTTTAGTCAAGGCTGGCAGTGAACAGCGTGACCGCAGGGGACTATGGACGTCCGCTTAGGATCTCAAACTTTATCAATGAACTTGACTCTGGCTTTCGCTTGCTCAATTTAAAAAACGACCCTCTTCGCAAGCGCTATGACGGCCTCAAGTACGATGTGAAAAAGATAGAGGAGGTGGTGTACGACCTTTCCATCCGAGGCCTTGCCAAGGAGCAGGAGACTGGAGGAGAATGAGTAGAGCTGTGGCTGGGATTCTCCACGACTGGAAGAGGTGGTCGGAGGAGGAGGAGGAGGAGGGAAGGGATGGAGGTTTTGAGGCCCCGGTATTTTTTAAGCCACTTGCCTACCAGGACAGAGATCAGTTCAGGTTTTAGTGGGGAAATCTTCTCTTTCTCACTTCTGTTCAGAGATGTTTTTATGTACAGATGCATTTGTTTGCCTGTTATTTTTGATTGGATGTTTTTTTACTAGTATTGATTGCTTTTGTCTCGGCCATTTATCTTGTGAATCATTGTACAGTCAAACAAGAAAACATTGTTTTGGGGGAGATATTTAAGAATTAATACTGAAATATTGATAAAGAGAGGGAAACAATGGTAAATGCTGGTAGAAACAGAAGTTATTTGCCTATGTTTGTTGTTTTCTGACCAGTAATGACATCAAGACACTTTCTTGATGTTGACCTAAACAAATATTAGCCTACATATGAGACAAACTGATTCATTAGATTCGGTGTTCTACACTCATAGCACATTTCTTGAATGTAACTGACTAAATCACGTTAATTGTTTCTTGCTAAGGTGTACATGAAGGTAAAATTGATAAACCTGTGCCAAAATATTTAGTTCCATACTGTAAAGACATCTTGAGTTTGTTGATCATCAGTTTCTTAAAGCACCGGCTTTGGTGCCATATTTACACTGATGTATTTCTCCATTAAAGAGAGAGTTCATCCAAGAATAAAAGTTCTGTCATCATTTACACACCCTCCTGTCGCTCCAAACCTGTTTGACTAACTTTTTGCAGAACACTGAAGATCATGTTGAGTATTTTTTTCTTTCCATACAATCAAAGTCAAAAGGTTTGGACCCCACTGACTTTTACTATATGAACAAAAACAGTGGAAACATTTTTCAAAATATCTTTTGTGATGCACAGACCAAAGTCATACAGGTTTGGAACAGCACGAGGATGAGTAAATGATGACAGAATTTTCATTTTTGGATCAATAAGTTCAAAGAGATTTCTTGCGGTATATTTTTGACCACCTGCTTATCACTTCTACTTTTCAGTTCATATGTTCCTTTCCCTGTTGTTCTGGCTCTTATGTTGTTCTGGATGTTGTTGCATGTTGAACTCCACCTGCAGATAGTCTCGTATCTGGAAGAGCTTTGGAAAAATAACAATTGTAACAGTACAATACAACTTTCAAGCAAATGTTTTAAAGAGCAAACTGACAGTGCATTTGTTTTCCTTTGTAAATATTTATGGAAATTGTTATGTTCCTCCCTATTTTGTTTGTGGATTCTCAGTGCATTGAACTTCTTGTTGTGTGTTCTCTGTGGGTGCATGTTTTACTTAAAATGGTTCTCAGTAATTTTCAACAATAATGCTTTGTATTCTTATTGTTTCTCCCCAAAGATAGATTTCTGTCTGACAGTATTAGCATTTGAAATGCCTGTTCATGTGGTGGTTCAACTGGGAAATCATTTGCTTGTTCAATAATGCTGTGTAATAAAGATTGTCATTGGGAATAATGTTCTCAGAAAACATGGAGTCATTTGAGAGAGATGGATACTTGTCATTTTTATTGTAATTCACAATATTTTACACAACAAAAAATAAAAATATTAAATTAGGATTTTTAAGAATGGAAAAAGTATTTAACAGCTCGATTGGTCTCAGGTAAAAATAACATCTCTGGCAGGTTCAACTCCTCTTTTCATTGTGTAATGTGGAAGCTATGGTATTTCTAACAGTTTCAATGCCGTTGGAAAAACAGTAAATATTCATGTTGAAACCTAAATGTCAAGATCCAGTGATAGCGACAAATCTATCCATTAGAATTGACTTTAAACGCAGAGAGAGACCAGGGTGAATGTGGTTGATTGCTATTGCTCAAGTCAACTGTGGTTCATTTTCTTTTAAAGCTCAAACAATCTTTAAAACAAAGTACAGTAAAGCTTTGTAAACTGCAGAACAATGTCCTCACTCCAGTTTTAGGACCTTCATATTAAAGTGCATCAAACAAAAACAGGTAACATTTAGCAGGTTGTCATAAAGCACAGTTCGTATATCAATGGGGAAGTTGGAATATTACAGCAGCTACTGAAAAATAATATTTTTCTCAATAATTTGACATAAGGCCCAATTTTTAGGTAAACGTAGAGGGAAAACTTGAACGAATAGTAGACTCATTTAGTATAAAATAAACAAAGGCACGTATTTTATCCCCCTCAAAGATTAAAGGAAAGCAACATTGTTATTATAAACTACAAATTTGGGGGGGGGGAAACATCAAACTGAGATTTTCTAATTCAGGATCTGGCCACAGATGGCTTCAGCACAACCATTAATGTGGCAATACTTGATGTTTAGATTGATGCTACACCCTCATTTATGGAGAAAACATACCAAAAATGTTTTGTTACATCATCGATCACAAGGATACCAGCTTTACTGCCGCTACATAATACAATGAATATTATTGCTGTTTTGTAAACCAGCACAGTGATACAAAAATGAGAACTGCTCCTGGGCGGCAGTGGAAATAGTTGCTAATGGAAGAGAGAAAGAGGAAGAAGGAATTACAATGGTCCGAAAACAAAACAGCTTTACCCCAGTTTTCACACAACACAGGTTTCCACTCTGTAGTGCATACTTAAAAGTCCACATAAGGTCCATCCAATCAAAACATGTTCCCTCATGCTTATCACAAAAAACATTTCACAACTGAAAAGGTTTCTTCTCAGTCGCAAACTAGTTGTACAATCAGTGTTTTACAAGTGCAGCATTGAGGCACCTAAGAAGGCCCTCATTTTGGTATGCCAAAGGGCATTACTTTTTGCTTGACAGTGGATTTTTCCTCTTCCCAAATGTCATTTATTTGCTTTCCACTCATACAAAGTGCCCCTTGCGGTCTATATTAATATTCAGTCTTTTAAATCACAGTAAAACCTTGCAATTTAAAAGTCCATTGGTGGAGGAACATCCAATCAGATCCGATTCCCCCACACAAATACTGTTTTCTCAACAAAATATTGATTTTTTAAATTATTGTTTACATCAGAGTTCTGCTGGGAAGGGATGAGGGATGTCTCAGGACCGGCTCTGGGTCGTGTTAATCATAATATTAGGGAGAGCATTGCGTCGTTTTCTCCAGGATCCCAGATCACAAGCGTATCTCTTGATCTGTCGAAACCACTGCTGAGTGCGAGGTTTGTCGGAGGCACGGAAAACGAAGGCCTCGCGCCGGATGTCCAGCACCTCAAAGGTGTCTTCACAGTCGGGGTCGTTGGACACCACGGAGTTCGCCAGACAGATGGGCTCCCGTAACACAGTGAACTTCCCGCTGCTCTTGTCCTTGATGAGCACCAGTACACCGTCCTGCACCGTCTCTGAGGTCTCCAGACTCCCATCGGTCACCACCTCTGCGGTGCGCAGGGTGCGTACCATGAGTAAACCCTGAACGTTCTGGAATTTGAGGGATTTGCTTCCCTTCTTGAGCCACTGGCCATCGGCGGGCTGCGCCAGCTGGAGCGCCCCCTCCATGATGAAGCGCGTGCTCTCTCGTGTCCAGCCCACCGTCTTCATCGACAGCTCTCTCATCTCAATGTTGATGACCTCTCGGTTCTTGCGGCTGTCACGCCGGAAGGAACGCAAGGACCACGTGGCGGTCCCCTCCTGTTTAGTCTTCATGTTGATGTGCTCTAGATGGGACTCCACGCGGCTCTTGGCTTCTTTTAAGCGGGAATAGTCTGGATGACACTCGTTGGTGGCCTTGCTGATGCGACTCAGCAGCAACGGGTACTTGGTCACACGCTGAAGCGGCGCCATGAGGAAGGAGCGCAGGTTCATGCGCCTGAGCGCAGTGTTGTCGTTCTGGGACACGTCGAGGAATATCCTGAAGGACGTAAGGGAGGAAACATAAACATGTGACAATTAAGAGAGTTCCTTCTAATGGCATACGCTACTGTTCTATTCATCAAATAATCCTGAAAAATACAAATCACTGTTTCTACAAAATTATTAAGCAGCACAACTGTTTTCAACCTTGTTAATAATTAGAAATGTTTCTTGATCAGCAAATCAGCATATTAGAATGATTTCTGAAGGGTCATGTGACACTGGAGACTGAAGCAATGGTGCTGAAAATTCAGCTTTGCCACCTCAGGAATAAATTAAATTTTTTGATACATAAAAATAGAAAACAGTTATTTTAAATTGTAATAATATTTCACAATATTACTGATTTTACTGTATTTTTAATCAAGTAAATGCAGTCTTGGTGAGCATACAAGGCTGCATTAATAAAAAAAAATAAATAAAAAATCTTACCAACTCCAAACTTTTAAACGGTGGTGTATATTGTATACATAAGATTGGTAACATTTTCAAATAAATCTATGGGCTATGTCACTTCCTTTTCAAATGTTTTTTTTTCTCAAAGTAAAGTTGTAAAAACTAATGAAGGAAGACTTCTCACCTAATTCATTGCAAAGTAGTGTACTACAAATCTGATTTTCACTTCAGTGTTGCCATTAAAAATTTAAAACACATTAGCAGGGCACAACAAAGGATGGGCAGATGGCAGAGTAGCCAGTGTGCCAGTATTTCAGGCTAGTGCCTAGTTCACTGTCACTTGCCTAGTTGGTCACAATTGCATTCATTGATCATAATACATGTGGGTGCAAATGTTTTGTGATGATTTAAGTATGTCACCAAGTTATCTTAATGAGTGACATAACGTGAAGGCCAAGTATGGTAACCCATACTCGGAATTTGTCCTCTGCATTTAACCCGTCCAAGTTAGTGCACACACATTAATTCATATGGCATACACTACTGTTCTATAGTGTTCACTAGCTAGCTATCTAACATGATGTTAGGATGAGTTGAATAAAAAAAAGTAAACTATCACATTATTCCTTTGATTTCCAGCAAAAGCTAGTTTGAAATCATTACTGTATAATTTTCAGCTATTATTGCAAAATCAAAAAAATAATACATTATTAGGTACAGGTTGTAATTTGACACATCTTATTAAAATATTTTATAGATGAGCCGTGGTTGGAAATACATTTGAAAAGACCTACTAACTAACAATCTACTTACACTGCTGATGCTTAACTGCCTTTATTTGAAAACCCTGAATGGCTTTGCAAATAAAGAGGATAATCTACAGTACTTTCTAAAAGCAATTAGAGAAAGTAATATGTGTACCTAAGAAGCTCTTTTTCTTTCTCCAGAGTGTTGAGCATGTTGACAGATGTGGACTGCTGCAGGCAGTAGGTTTGAAACGCTGGAAGCATGTTGACAAACTCCAAGAAGATTTCTCCAATGCACACAGTCTGCAGGTCCTCATCGCCCTGTATGAGCACAGAAGATTCATTATTGTGAATAATGAATCATATTATAACATTATAAATCAAAGTAGTGACCACCGATGGGGTTTTTTCAATGCAGATATCAAGAGAGCACAATGCAAGTTCGCTACAATATATAAACAAACTGTTTAAAAAATGTAGGGTTGGTACGATTTCCTTTTGGTAAGTCTCTTCTGCTCACCAAAGCTGCATTTATTTGATCAAGAATACAGTAAAAACTGTGATATTGTGAAATATTATTACAATTTAAAACAACTGATTTATATTTTAATATATTTTAAAGTGAGTCTTCGAGTGTCATGTGATCAGAAATCATTCTTATATGCTGATTTGCTTAAGAAACATTTATTATTGTTATCAATGTTGAAAACAGCTATGCTGCTTAATATTTTTGAGGGAAATATTTTTCAGGATTATTAGATGAATAGAAAGTTCAAAAGAACAGCATTTATTCGAAACACAAATGTCTTTATATAAATGTTATATAAATGTACTGACTGTTTTGATCAATTTAAAGCAACCTTGCTGAATATATCTAACTCTATCACTATACCTGCTCCATACCTGATCAAACGCCTGATCAATGCTGTCCTGCAGATGCTCTGTGAACCTGTCATTGACATCAATGAGCTCTTGAACATTGCTAAAGACCACGGCCAGCTGCTCTGCTGTGAGCAGTCCTGCACTCTGCATGGGGCAGTAAAACTCTTCCTTGATGATGCGCAGGTCCTCTCCATAACTCGACTCCGTGTTGAGAAACTCCAGGATGGCTTCTTTGCGCTCGGTGCGCAGCTTGGAGCAGCGTTCGCACATGCCCTCCCCGTGGGCACCCTCTTTGTGTCCGCAATCGGGACAGGGCTGCTGAACCTCCCAGGTCCTGAGGGATGGCGTGGGTCTCCTCCAGCACCGAGCCAATCCAGGGCCGATGCCGCTGTCCAC